TTTGTAGTTTTAGTAGAGACGGGGTTTCACCATGTTGACCAGGATGGTCTCGATCTCTTGACCTCGTGATCCACCCGCCTCGGCCTCCCAAAGTGCTGGGATTATAGGCGTGAGCCACAGCGCCCGGCCTGCTCCTAAGTTTTTAAACAAATGAGTGAAAAGAATGTTTTCTACAAACAAAAACAAAGAGCCAAGTGACAAAATGAACTGCTAAAGGAAAGTGAGGGCCACTGAATGACAACTCAGGTTCAGAAGTTTGTGAGTATGAAAACGGAACTGCGGGGAAAACCAGTTAGAAGGGGGAGGCTCAGGCCTAGTGGCTGCGTGTACACTAGGAGCTCAAGAACTGTTTGTCCACTGGAATGCAAGAGCAGAAAGCAGCAGCCAGGATCCCGCCCTGCAGTTGATCCCACCCTCTCTGCGTCCCCCACCAGCTGCCCGACGTAGGTGGCCGCCCTGCACCGCCAGACCAGCCTTGCAGAGCTGGAGTGGCACGAGACTCTCTGGCCCCACCGGACTTCCTAAGCCTGAGGCAAATAACTGTCTGCTTGCTATAAGTATCACTGAAGAGCACACTTCCACTCTTGGTCTCTACCCTGTTCCTTCAGAATTAATGTTATGAAGTTTCTAGAAAGAGCGAACAGCTCAAAACCACAATTTCTTTGGCTACTAAGGAGTGTCTGGCAACTGCTGAGATGTTTTTTTCGAATGAGGGGATAGGCACGACCCAAAAAAGTCTGTTTTTCTGTGGCATGGTTATAATTACACCTTATTCCAAATACTTTCCAAGGTTTTTCCAGTATCTTCAGAACTTTGTAAACCACTCTTATAGGTTGGTTTGTAGCCTTTTTAGTCAGTTCTCAAGGGGGCCAGAAATGGCCCAGATGAGGCTATTACTGGAACTGCCCCCACCTCCATTCAGAACCAGGGCAATTCATCTAGAGCTGCCCCTCAGGCAATGGGAAACATTCCCCGAGTGTGAACTTTGACATGGGAGAAAAGAATAAAATGGCACCTCTGAGCATCCTGTGACTCCCACGTCATGAACCAGCACACAGTCTCCTATGGTGCCAGGTCCCAAGACCGCTTCCAGAGGCTCAGGCCCCTCTGCTCCTGCCCTCTTCATGGAAGCACACAGACAGCACCCGTTCCCTGCTAAGCCACAGGGACTCCTGAGGGTAAGGACCACCCCGCACCGCCCTGCCAGAGCACTCAGTCACATTCTCAGGGCTACTGACCATCTCAGTGACACTGATGGGCTTGGCTCTGCCTGTGGCCCAAGCTATTCCCTACTCCGTATTCTTGCTGACTCCGAAAGGAGTCACCAGAGTGGCAGAAAGGAGAACCAGGGCCTATGATGGCACTTGGTATCACCAGGCAAAAAAAGAGGAAAAATTCCCAGTCTGTGATTTGTAGGCCTCCTTGCCATGGTCCTCATCTTCAAAGTCACCTCTTGAGACAGACTAGACCCGGCTAAGTTACAGTGAGCTAGGTAATCCCGTCACTTCCTCTCTGTGGGTCACAACTTGCAACAGCTGTGAAATAGGAGGGTGGGGCTGGCGGCCCATACAAGATGATTCTGTATCCTCACCAGTACTGATTATTCCACAACAACCATCTTACAGTGTTAGCTGACTTTACAGGTGGCTCTGGGTTAGAGGTATGCTTAATCCTGGAGCAGAAGGATATGCCTCTGCATATAAATGCCAATGTTTCCAACAGCAGTTTTTGAAGTGGCTATCAATGACCCGGATGAAAGATCCAACTATTCCCTTACAGACATCGCTGATAGTCTCTATAGACCCAAACCTCAATCCCTTGCATTTTTAGGGTAAGACGTGAATTGTAGTCCTTATAATCAATTACTTAAACAGTACACTAGAAAGAAGTCAACAGACTTAAAAGACTATATCTTTAGCTTCATTCTTTTAAACTCTGTCCTCTTCTAAACATGAAAAGTTCCTACTATAAAGAGGTACCTCAACTGGTAACTGTCAGCAGAGCAAATATGTGTGCTGAACCACCAAGATTTCCTAGTAAATAAAGGAATGGCTAGGAACCTGGAGGCTGAGGCTGCAGTGAGCCTTGACTGCACCACTGTACGCAGACTGGGGTACAGTGGTGCAATCAAGGCTCACTGCAGCCTCAACCTCCAGGGCTCAAGCGATCCTCCCTTCTCTCAGCCTCCTGAGTAGCTGGGACTATAGATGTGCACCTCCACGCCCAGCTAATTCTTCTATTTTTTGTACAGATGGAGTTTTTTGCCATGTTGCCCAGGCTAGTCTCAAACTCCTGGACTCAAGCGATCTGCCCATTTCGGCCTCCCAAAGTGCTAGAATCATAGGTGTGAGCCACCATGCCCAGCTGATTTCCTAGTCATTCTTGTGAAAGTCAACCTACAACTCACAGAGAACAGGGAAACAAAGATTCCCCTGGCATCCAAATAAGTTCAGCCTGTTGCATGGCAGAACCCGAAACTGGTCACTCTTCAGAAACAAAAGAGTCACCGTGCTGCCCAGGAAGGAAAGTAAACCCAATGGCTTCTAGCATCCTCTATGCCACATGACTGCAGAGCTGTTCAAAGGCGCCTTTTCCTAAAGGTATTCTCAGCTTTTCCCAAGGGGCAGCAGCAGACAAGACAGCAAATTATCAACATTGTTTAGGTACCTGTGGATAAAGTAACCCTGACACTTTGGTTACCTTGTGAGTGACAGTCCCAAAGAAAACATCCCAAATAGTTCCCAAAT